TCTCTCTCTCTCTCTCTCTCTCTCTCTCTCTCTCTCTCTCTCTCTCTCTCGCTCTCTCTCTCTCTCTCACACACACACTGTGTGTTTTAGTGTTTGCAAGCATGTATGTAAAGGCCAGAGATCAACCTCTGGTGTCATTCCTCAGGAAACACCCACTTTTTCTTTATATTTTAAAATTATTCATGTGCATTGTGTTGTACATACATGTGTGATGGGGTTCATATACCTGTGTGTACACAGAGACTAGAGGAAGATTCCCTGTGTCATTCTCTACCACTTTCCACTTGTTTCTTTGAAGAAGCATCTCTTGCTGAACCAGGAGCTCTTATATTTTTCAGCTAGGCTGACAACCAGCAAGCCCCAGTTATCCTGTCTCCAAGCCCTCAGTGCTGGAGCTAAGGTCCACAGGGAACCACCTCTGTCTTGGTATAGGAATACTAGTAGATAAACTCTGGACCTCAACGTTGCAAAGCAAGCTCTCTTGCCACTTGAGTCATTTTGCCAGCCCTCACTTTTTAAAAAAAGTTTCCCCCCTGGGACATGGAGCTCACCCATCAGCCTAGATGTGCTAGTCAGCGAGCCCTTTGATCTTCCTGATTCTAGCCTGCCAGCACTGGGATTACAGGAGCATGACACCATGCTTGGCTGCCTCCAACCCCAGAAACAGGGTCTCTCTATAGTCCTGGCTGTCCTAGAACTATGTAAATCAGGCTAGCCTTGAACTCACAGAGATCCACCAGCTTCTGCCTTCTAAGTGCTGGGATTAAAGGCCTATGCCATTAAACCTGGCTATATATGACTTTTTAAGTGGGTCTGCATATTATGGCAGGTACTTTACCACATGAGCCATCTTCTTCAGACCAATTAGGAAGTCTGTATCCTGTTTCCATATTACCTCAGACATTACTCTCAGGGTAAAGAGATCATGGTGTAAAAGGTTGATCCTGTCAACTGATCTCATGACAGGTTAAAAAAAAAACTTGATATCACAGGTACAGTTTCAGGGAAGTAGGTCTAAGAATAATTCTAAGAAGGATTCTTTGCTCCACACATCAAAGACAACTGAATCCTTTCTAGAAGACTTGAGTAAAACTCTTGGATTTAGACTTCAGTGTTTTTCCCCTATGTTCTATTTAGACAGATGCTGGTGTTTGTGATTGGAGGTTCTTAGGGACAGAAGAAAAAATGAAATTTGAGAAGCGCTTGATTTTTCAAAAGCCACCAAAGCACTGAGAAATTCATCTAGAACTTGTATTTTAGAGACAGGGTTGTGTTACATATAACTTGGATTTCCCTTGACCTCTCAAGCCCCATCTCAACATCCTGATTGCTGAGGTTATAGAACAGCAGCTATATAGTCTACAGTTGGTCTCTAACTCATGATTCTCCTCATGAACCTCCTTCCTCCATGCTCCACTCTGGGATCACAGGACTGTACTACCAGATCTGTCTGTATATTTTTAAAAGTTATGAATGTACCATTCATTGTAACATTACAAATTAGTCAAGTGTTGGTGGCACACACCTTTAATCCCAGCACTAAAGAGACAGAGGCAGGCAGATCTTGTTTGAGGCCAGCCTGGTCTACAGAGTGAATTCTAGGACAGCTAGGACTACACAGAGAAACCCTGTCTCAATCCCTACCCCAGCCAAAAAACACAAAGTAGGAGAGAACATAATGTCCCACAATAAGAATGTTTTTGTTTTGTTTTGTTTTGTTTTGCAGACTGGGTCTCACTATGTAGCTCGGGCTGTCCTGGAACTCCCTATGTAGACCAGGCTGGCCTCTAACTTATAGAAGTCCACTTGCCTCTGACTCCCTCCAGAGTGCTGATATTAAACCCATATACCATCATGACTAACTGCCCATAATAAGAATGTTAAACACAGTATTGGAGGTGAAAAACACATGTACTCACTAAACTTAACACTTTAAAACTGTCTAGAGATAGGTGTGTCCAACAGATCAAGAGTAGGGTCTCATGTAACCCAGGGTGGCTGTCAACTTGTCATGTAGCAGAGGATGACTTTAAAGTTATATTCTTTCTGCCTTTCCCTCTTTAGTACTGGAATTATAGGCATATTCCACCATGGTAGGCTTGAGACGGAACCCATGCTCTATCACCTGACCTACAGTAGCCTCAGTACCAACTGCAGCAATTTCTTTTTGCCTGACTGCTATGTCCCCTTGACCTAGAACAGCAGCTGGCACCTATTAATCAATATGTGTTTCTTGACGTGAAGGGATGCACTCTTGCCCTGGACACATGGGGAAGGGCCCAGGCCCAGCCCAGGATAATGTTGAGGGCCCTACCCTGCCTGGGGAGTGGAAGGTGGAATGGGTGGGGGTAGGTCGGGGGTGCGGGAGGAGGGATGGGGGTAAGGGGAGGGAGAGGGAGAAGGGATTGATTTGTGAAACAAGCTTGTTCCTAATTTGAACTAATAAAAAAATTTTAAAAAATATGTGTTTGTTGAATGAATAGATATATGCAAATGCAAATTGAGTTTTGAGCAGGCCTGTAACCTCAGCACTCATGAAGCAGACTCAGGAGAAGTGTGAGTTCAAGGCCAGCCTGGGGTACACAATGAGAAGTTGTCTCCCCAACAAAAGAAAAAAGAAAGAAAGAAAGAAAGGAGTTTGCAGGACACATACTAAATAGGGATGACTGCATCATGGGAGTGTGATTTAGAAGAGATGGTGTCCAAAGACTTTGTTTTGGATAATTTGATTCATCTCCATTCCATCTCCTTCTCTGTGTATTTAATGGAAGGCAACGAAACACGAGACAAAATGGAAGACTGAACTGAGATTCAGTTAGTCTGAACTGAAACCATGTAGAGAAAACCAGAAAGGGATGGGAATAAAGCTCTGCATTCCTGTGGGGGAAATAGAAAATTCAAAATATGTGAATTCCAGCTAAGTGTTACCCAGCAGGCTGGAGCCCGCTGGAGACCTTGATGAGATGCAGCTTCCTCTGGATGTGAAATGGTCTCTGTATGCAACCATTCTTCCAGGTCTCGCCATGCCTGCCCATTCTGGGTTCACAAGTCTGCAAAGGCCCTGGGCAAAATATATTTAGAAAGATACTATTTTTTTTCTAAAAGGAAAAGGAATCAAGAAGCTGGGGTAGGCAGCAATGACAAGAGGAAAAATGAGCTTTGAGGTCGGTGGCTAGAGATCAGACATTTTTCCTCAAAGGGAACCTGTTTTTCAGAGGTGTCAAGAAGAGTTCTTACAGGATCTGCAGGCATTTAGAGCAAAGCAGCATCCACAGCGACCTCTCAGTGCTATGTTTGGAAGCAGCTCTTCTCACCCCAAGCCTGCCTATCATCAAAACAGTCGTTTTTATCCTCAAGGATTCCGGCCAAACACTAGTCACTGCCCCCCACAGGGAGGAAGTTCAGAGCTGTATGTGGAAACGACAGGAGCAAGGGGCATGCATACAGCGGAATATGACTCAGACAGGGACGTGTGACTTCTGCATTGGAAGATGCTCGGACTGGGCCAGGTCCCAATGATGTGGCTGACTGTAAGTAAACTATCCACCAGTAAGCCTCTGTCTAGGGTACCTGCTGGGTTGTCAGGAGCCACTACCAAGCTCCTCATAGGACAGAGAAAGACCCAGACTGTTTTGCACAGCCCAGAGGTTCTCCCAAAAACCCAAGACTGTTGGGAAACAAATCTCAGGGCTTGGCCTGAGATCCTAGGCCATTCTTGGCCAGCCACATAGTTGTATATTAACCTTTACATAGCCGCTCCTTAGAACCTCAGCCCAAGAAAAGAAACAACTTAACCCAGTCCTCCACCCACAGGCTCAGTCACTTAGTCAAACCCTGCCTGGATCTCTTACTCAAGAACTCTTTCCCCTGCCAAACATCCTCTTTGTGGCTGCCTAATATCCGGCCTATACTAACACCTGGTGCACAAACAACCCATTCTACTCCTCCCCATATCCTGCTCTGCTGACTATATAAGCTAGCCTGAGAAAAATAAAGTTTGCCACTTGATCAGAGTCCTGTCTTGTGGTCGTTCTTTCTGTGTCTCTTGTCTCCATTCCCTATCCCTGACTATCTTGCCCCAGGTTGACATCCTGCAGGTCGGGACACAAGGCAGTGTTCACTTTTTTTTTGGGGGGGGGAGCAAAAATGCTAGACAATTCCAGTTCCTGTATTGGGTGTGGTTGTGTATGCTTGTCATCCCAACAAAAGGAAAGTGGGAGACAAGGAGGTGCAAAAGCTGAAGGCCGGCCTGGCATAATGTGGTGGGACTTTAGTTTTGTTTGTTCATTTGTTTTGTTTTAGACAAGATCTAGTTACGTATACATGGCTGGCCTGGAACTCATTGTGTAGACCAAGTTGGTTTTAGCCTCAAAGAGATTCACTTGCCTCTGCCTCCTGAGTGCCGGGATTAAAGGACTGCAACAGTATGCTTACCTGAGACCTTAGTTTTAGACAGGATTTTTGTTTTGTTTTGTTTTTCGAGACAGGGTTCTTTGTATTGCATTGGAGCCTGTCTGTGGAACTCAGAGAGATCCGCCTGCCTCCGCCTCCAGGATGCTGAGATTTAAAGGCATGAGCCACCACCGCCCGGCTTTAGACAGAAGAATCTTAAAAAGAAAATAGCTTTTCTACAAGAAATTCTAATTAAACTCAGCCAGTAACACCAAACAAACAAACATTGGTGAAATGAAGGGAGTCGGTAGGAGAGGGATGGCAGTAGTCGGGGTGGGGGGTGACCAAGATTCGCTGCGTACGTGCAGGAAATTGATAAGTAATGATAAAGGTGAGCAGGAAGAAAGGAAGAGATCGGAGAGGAAGAGGGAGGGAGAGAGACGTTACAAGAGAAGGGAGAAGAAAATAAAATCAACGAAGATAGGCGAGAACAAAACAGAATGTACTAGCAGCACAAGAGTCTAATTCCAATAATTTCCGCCCTCGGGCAACTATTTCGTCGGAAGTTATCCTTATCGCGCGGGCACTGATGACGCTGTGGACGCGCCGGAAGTGCCCGGGAGCGCTCGGATGGCGCCAGCTGGGAGTGGCTGAGTGTTGGCTGGGCTTTGGGTAAGGCAGCTTTGGAGAGTTCTGTGACACCTGGGTTGGGCGGCGGCCGTCGCCCCCCCCCCCCGTTTAAACTTCCTGGTTATGTGTGGGACCACAGTCCTCTCTGAGCCCCCTGCACCCTGCTCCTTGTGCTCCCCACTCAGTCGGCTGTCATTCCGGGCTCCGGACGCAGTTACCGTCTCCCAGGCTGCCACAGAGCTTCCCTCATCTTCTCTGGGCCTGATGCATTCCGGATCTGGTTGTAGGATGGGCTCCATTCACCACTACCCTTCCCTGGTCCCATCACAGCGGGAGATTCTGTAACCCTAAGAATGCAAGGGACTTAAATATCATGTATCCGGGAAGCGTCCAGATATGCCCATAGTGATAGTGACAGCGATAGGGATGGTAGACCCAAACTACCGGACTAGAAATTTTCGTCCCAGTTCAGCAGCGGTGCAGTACTTCCAAACGCCTTTGGCAGTGCACCCCACCGCTGACACTTACTCAACACTGTAAAGCGTTGCGCTTGTCTCCGCAGCCAGTTCTGGAACAACCATGTCACCGTCTTTGCGCGTTCCAGAAGCACAACGCTACCCAGGCGGAAGTGTTGTCTGAATTCTCCGTGGATGTGGCAAAGAGGAGCGAATGCTAGAGGTGCCGCTGAAACAGTGTCCGACCAAGAGAAATATGTAGGCGGAAGACCTGTTACCTTGTGAGAATGGCTTTTTGTTTGTTTGCTTGTTTGTTTGTTTCCTTATTTGTTAATAGTTTTTGTTTTGATAGTATCTGAGTTGGAATGCTGGCCCAGAATCCTGCCTGGTAAAGCCAATGCCACCGTTTCCAGTTTCTTAACACAGGTCTTTATTTCTTCTGGTTCTCGTGGTGATCTGTGATATTGTGGCCACTGACCTGTTTAATAGACATGATGCCAGATTCTGGATGTGGGACTCTTGATTACATTCAGGAATTGCTCATTCTGATGAAGTCCGAAAGTTCTTTTTTTGGGAGGGGGGCTTTATCAGTATCTATGTGAATATTTAAGAAAGTTAAAAAGATTAAAAGATTTTGTTGTTGTGTGTCGTGGTACACCTCCATAATCCCAATATTCTGAAAGCTGAGGCAGGAGAATTCTGAGTTTCAAGCTAGCCTGGACTACATAGTAAGACCCTGTCTCAAAAAAACAAATAAGGGGTTGGGAGACGGCTCTGTTGATAATGCCTGGTAGTCTTGAGAACTCAGAGTGGATGACCAGACTTTACGTTAAAGCACAAAAGCTGAGAGACTGGGAGATAGCTCTGTGGATAAGAGTGCTTAATTGCAAGCATGAAGTCCTGAATTTGGATCTTTGGGGCCACCATAAAATGTTGAGTGTGGCTTGACGGCTGTCAGCCTAGCCCCTCGCACCACCCCCCAAAAAGAGAGTGAGCTCCAGGTTTAGCAGAGATTCTAAGGGAATATGATGGAGAATGATAGAGAACACTTGACATTCTCCTCATGCCTGCAAACATTCACCTGCAAGCATTGCCCCCAACAACAGATAACAAAGTAAATAAACAGTAAAAATAAGAGGGCCCTTCTCATCTTATTATTTTTTTTTAAAGAATGTGGTGGGCAGCACAGGTGTGTAATTCTATCCCAGGGGAGGAGGTGACAGTGGGGCCTGTTGGACCTGCTGGCCAGCCAGCCTAGCCAAATCTGTGAGCATGTGTCAGAAAAACGTGGAAAGTGGCTGGGGTGGGAGCTCAGTGATAGATTGCTTGCCCAGCATACATGAAACCCTACGTTCAATTCTCAGCACTAACGGGAAAGAAAGGAACCCATTGACTTGAGGTTGCCTTGACCTATACTTTGGGATAGAGAGCTAGCTTAGTGAGTGAAGTACTTGTCTTACAAGTATGAAGACCAGTATCAAATCCCCAGAACATATGTAAAATCCTGATATAGTGGTGTCTGTGCAATTCTAATTTTTCCACTGTGCAATGGGAGGGTCCTTGGAAACACATAGGCCAGCTAGCCTGGCCTGCACCGCAGAGAACAGACAACAAGGTGGAGCGGGAGGACCAACCACACCAGTGATTGTCTTCTGACTGCCACATGCATGCTGTGGCATTATCCACCCACACTCGGACAAATGCACATACACAAAGAAATTTTCAAAAGTTCAAAATAAGTCTGGGCATAGTCACACATGCTTTTAATCCCAGCACCTAGGATGCAGAGGCAGGTGAATCTCTGTTGAGGCCAGCCTAGTCTACATAGTAAGACCCTGTCTCAGACAACAACAATAAAAACTAGTTAGATGTCTCAGTGGGTAAGTGCACCTGCTGCTAAGTTTGAGGAGCCTGAGTTTAATTCTCAGGACTCAAAAGTTGTCCTACACACACACACACACACACACACACACACACACACACACACACACACAGAGAGAGAGAGAGAGAGAGAGAGAGAGAGAGAGAGGAAGTGGAGCATAATAATGGAGATATGCGAACCTCTGGCTGGAGCACACATAAATATGTCCATGCACACCTGTAGACACATGTGCACACAGACAAGTACACACACAGCCCACAGACAAACTAATGAAAGAGGTTTGTTGCCCCAAAGGCAGACCACAGTGTTCATCTTGAAGATGGACTAATGCCCACCAACCTGGGTGTGGATCTCGAGCATAGGAATAAACCTAGGGCTCAGGATACATGCTAGGAGATAAATCCTTCAACAGCAGTTACTCATACTGTCTTTCTTTGCAGCCTCCGGCATGGACTTCCTGGTTCTCTTCTTGTTCTACCTGGCCTTCTTGTTGATTGGTGTTGCCATGATCTGCATCTTCACAAAAAACCAGCGTTTGAAAAGCCTGGTCCTGGGAGGAGCACAGGTAGCTCTCAATGATCCGTGGGTACTGCTGACATTTGAATACTGTACTAGGTATAGTCTGAAATGCTCATTGGGCCAGGTGTCGTGAGTCTTTCCTTTAATCCCAGCTCTTGGGAAGCTGATGTAGGAGGATTGAGAATTCAAGGCCAGTGGGTGCTACATAGAAAGATCCCGTGTCCAAACCAACAAAAAGGAATCTTGTTATTTTGCTTTGGGATAGGTCTAATTTTCAAGGTTGGCTTTTTAAACAGCGTGTGATGTCTATAGTTGGGCATGGATGTGAATAGCGTTTGCGTAGCCATGCTTTCGGCAGGTATGATACAGGGAGGAGGGGGACATATGAACAGAAAGCTGAGCATCTGGGTGTCTATCATCATTTGACATCAGACCATCCATCTTCCCTGGAGGCAGGTCAAGGGTGGTTCAAAACAAAATGAGGACAAGTACCCATGAGAAGAGGTTGACTCAGGAGGACCCTGGGGATCTAAAGGTGAACTTTGAACATGGGGTGGAACCCAGGGTAAGGAAAAGACAGCTTTCACAGCAGCCTCTGCCACTCCCTTTTCTTCAAAGATTCTGACATATACAGTCTTTGTGGTCAAAGTAGAAATGGAGAAGCTGTCCACACCTCCTAAATCCTAGCACTTAGGAAGCTGAGGCAGGAGGATCACAAACTCCAGGCTACCTTAGGTTACAAAATGAGACTGTTTCAAAAATAGAGGAGGAGCTGAGGAGATGGCTCATTGGTTAGAGTGCTTACCATGCATCCCTAAGAAACAGAGTTGAGATCTCCAGAGTGCACGTAAATGCTGGCTAGGATGGTGGCCAACCTGTAATTTCAGTATTTGGGAGTCAAGGACAAGAGATCCACAGGGCAGACTGGCTGGCTAGACTGACCAAATAGCTGAGCTCTGAGAGACCCTGTGTCAATATAAGGTAGAGAGCAATCAAGGAAGACACCTGACACCTACCTCTGACTACATACATGAGCACATGTGTATTCACAAACATACTATACACTTATGCACCGTAAAAACGTGAGCAAGTTGGCCTGAAAGGAAAGGTAGTAGAAGCAAGTCCTCTTTATTCTCTTGGATTGCTTCTCTACCTATGAAGAAACAGCGGCTAGAATCACCCCATTGCCAGTTGCATGTGGAAAAGCTCGCTTGTGTGGGAGTGAGGGGAATGACAAGTTAGGCTGACCCTTCTCTGTGATTTCAGGTGTGCTCCTGCATAATCCCACAGTGCCTTCAGAGGGCCGCACAGAGGCTTCTGCATCAGCTCTTCCACACACGGTATTTGTGGCTCAGGGTTTAGATGTCGCCATATTCAGTCTGGATGACAGTGTTGCCATTCTATAGCTTCTGGAAACGCCTTGTGGTTTCCAGTATAGAAAGGGGAAGGAGGCTGGAAGTTTCCAGAATGCTGGGTTTGGAACCTCTTCTGATAGATCATTTACTATTTGTCTCTGGGCTTTGAAGATGTCTGTTTTTATTGTTTTCATCTATTGATTGATTATAGTGCTGGGTATTGACCTGAGGATGTTGTTCATATCTGGCAAACCCTCTACCTCAAACACTGAACTACATCCCCAGACCAACACGGCCATTTTCTTTTGGTTTTGTTGAGATGGGGGTCTCATTCTATAGCCCAGGCTGGCTTGGAACTGACTACATAGACCAGACAAACTCATGACAGTCTTCTAGCCTCAGCCTCCCAAGTGCTGGGATGATAGTCATATGTGCCTACTACCATCCTGTCTGCTTTCAAGTAAAGATGCTTAAAAAAAGAGGGAAAGTATTATTAAATATTTCTGTAAAATATGTGTAAAATGTGTTTCTGTTTTTCATTTATTATTTCATTTTCATTTTAAAAAGTATTGATGTGTGTGTGCCTGAGTGTATTTGTACCACATGCATGTAGGAGCTGGTTGATGTCCGAAAAAGCATTGGATTCCCTGGACTGGAGTTACAGGTGGCTGTGAGCCACTGTGTGGGTGCTGGGAACTGAACTCTGTCCACTGCAGGAGCTGCCAGTGCTCTCAGTCATGGAACCATCTTCCTAGCCCCAGTTACTACTGCTACTGCTATTCTAGACAGGGTCTCACTATGTAGCTCTGGGTAGCCTGGGACTTGCTGTGTAGCTTAGGTAGGTCTCAAACTCAAGGCAAACCTGGCTCATCCCCGACGTGCTAGGATGACAGGCACGTGTACCACGATGGGCACTTACTTAACTCTGGTAGGAAATGGTTGGCCTTGGCCATGCCTGGGACTCATGTGGTTTCTTCCTGTGCATGAGCCGCATGTGCTTCCTTCCAGCAACCCCTCCTTCATCGTCCTGCACCTGCTCTTGCAAGGGCTAGTTTATGCTGAATACACCTTGGAGATATTTGGCTACTGCCAGGAGCTGGAGTTCTATCTGCCTTACCTTCTCCTTCCCTATCTGCTGCTGGGCGTGAACCTGGTATTCTTCACGCTGACTTGTTCCGCCAATCCAGGTAAGTCAGGTGTCAGGCTAGTAACAGCGGAAGCCTCGAGTTGACCGTGTCATAGGTAGCACTGTTCCCTAGAAGATGGCAGACCATTCCCCCTGTTATGATTTCACTGTCTTTCAGTTTGGAGTGTTTTCTATTTTATTTTTGGGCTTTGACCTATGGGTTTAACTAGTGTGAAATCTTCCAATATACATTGTTTATTTTGAGACGGGTATTTGCTCTGTGTCTCAGGCTGAGCTTCCTACTTCTTCCAAAATACTGGGATCACAGCCATGTGACACCATACTGATTTCAATACACTTTTTAGTTTTTGAAACTTTCATTCAATTGCATATGTCTACTTAAAGCTGTGGTCAGTATGACACAGCTTCCTTTTTATTTATTTTTTAAATTAATTAATTAGATTTAGTTTTTTGAGACAGAGTTTCTCTGTGTAACAGCCCTGGCTGTTCTGGAAGTTGGTTTGTAGATCATGCTGGCTCAAACTCACAGAGATTCATCTGTCTTTGCCTCCCCAGTGCTGGGATTAAAAGCGTGTGCCACCCTGGCTTGGTTTTCCTTTTTTTCTTTTGTAATGATGCAGGGGATTGAACTCAGGGCCCTCTGAGTGCTAGGCAAATGCTCTGTCACTTCCCAGCCATAGGGTTCCATTTCTAAAAGTATATTAGAGAGAAGAATTGGAGTAGCTGTTTAAAGTGCTTTTCAGGGGTGATGATAGTGTTCCAACCTTGATTGTGGTGATGGTTACACAGCCCTGGTGGTGTGCTGCCAACCACAGAACTGAGTGTGCTTTAAATTGGCTCACATCTATAATCTCATCATTTGGGAGGCTGGGGCAGGAGGATTGTATCAAGTTTAAGGCCAGCCTGGTTACAGTGTGAAAACTGTCTCAAGAAACCAAATAAAGGGCCAGAGAGATGACCCAGTGGGTAAAGGCACTTGTTGCACAAGCCAAGCTGGGCTCTGGAATTTGATCCCTAGAACCTATGTAAGTGGGAGGAGAGACCTGACTCTTCACAGGTGGCCTCTGGCTTTCACATGTGCTATAGCCCACACACCTCCACACACATTATTCATGTAAACACAAAATACTACATAAATAAAACAAGTGAATTGGATTCCTGAGTTATGTCTCAATAAGCCAGTTACTCAAACTGAGTTAGGGGCTGGAGAGTTGCAGTGTTGCTGAGGTGCTTGCTATGCAAACATTAGGACCCCAGTTCAACCTCCAGAGCATATAAAAGGGTTAGGAGCTCAGTACAGTGGTTCTAACCTGGGCTCCCAAGGCTGGGAGGCAGAGGTAGGAGGAGCCCTGGAGCTTGGTGGCTAGCCAGCCTGGCCTAATTGCTGAACTCTGAGTGGGTAAGAATCTGCCTAAAAAAAAAAAAAAAAAAAAAAAGGTTGGCTGGCTGATACCTAGGATGAAACATTGGAAGTTGACTTCCAGCTTGCACACACCTCTGCATCTGCACACATGAACACCACAGAAAATAAATTTAAAATAGTAAACACAGCAGCTTTAACTGCATTGTGCTGGTTTGGGTTTCCTAGGCCTGGTCAACCATATTGCTTAGAAGTGGCATCCCTTCTCTTCTCAGGCATCATCAATAAAACCAATGAGTCATTCTTTCTGCAAGTCTATCGATTCGATGATGTGATGTTTCCAGAGAACTCCAGGTGCTTCACTTGTGGCTTAAGGAAACCCGCCCGGTCCAAGCACTGCAGTAAGTGTGGCTCTTGGGGCTCCACAGCCATCCCCAGAACACCCCCCGCCTGTCCACAAGGGGATGCCGGCAGAGGAGCACACACACCAGCTGAACCCAGTACTAAACATGTTCCCTCACACGGCCACACTCACGTGGCGAGTAGTGGGACAGTGGACTGAAATGGGAGTCACAGGTTTGTACTATGCACACCTAACAAAAGTCCAAAGCCTGGGTTCATCCCCAACTCAAGGAACAAAGGAAGCAAACTGACTAAGAATCTGTCCACAATAAGTACTAGACTCCCTCCTGTGCCACCTCAGTGTTCACATTGAACTCAAGAGTTTTGCACAAGTGAAAAGGACCGCTAAATTTGTTAAGGTTAAACTATTTTTCCAGATTTTTCTTGTCCCTACTTGGTGTTCAGTGACTAAAACAGTTACACACTGCAGTTCTTTTTTAAATCCCTATGGGTGTATGTGTGCACATGTTCCAGTGCACACGTGTGGATAGATGTGTAGATGCTCATGTGGAGGCTAGAGGTTGGTGTTGGGGTCTTCTTCCATTGTTCTTCCCCAGAGCTCATTCATTCAAGCAGTCTAGGTAGCCAGCTTGCTCAGGAATCCTGTGGCTTTCTGCCTGCTGAGATTACAGGGAGGCTGCAAACCTTCGTGGCATCTGTCCATGCTAGGGATCTGAACCCATGTCATGCTTGCCTAGCAAGTATTCTCACCCCCGAGCATCTCCCAGCCTCAGAAGCTGCAGCTTTAAAAGCTTGGTAACAACAGCTGTCCTGCTCCCAAGCTGTTAGTCAGTCTGTAAAAGACTTAGTCCGTGTGTCTGCTGTTATTCTCTCATCAAGGACAAACCCAGCTGTGCTACCCTCCTTTCTCTGCAGGGGTGTGTGACCACTGTGTGCACCGTTTTGATCATCATTGCATTTGGGTGAACAATTGCATCGGGGCCTGGAACACCAGGTACTTCCTCATCTACCTCTTGACACTGGCAGCTTCAGCTGCCACCATAGCCATTCTGAGTGCTGCCTTTCTGGTCCAACTAGTGGCAGTGTCTGATCTGTACCAGGAAACTTACATTGATGACTTTGGGCATCTCCAGTCAGTGGACACAGTCTTTCTAATTCAGGTAATTTTGCATTGGGTTCAAGGAAAAACATAGAGATACGTTTTTATTCTTTTAAAAATAAATATATTATTTTTATTAATTCTTTCAGGATTTCATACATACATACAGTGTATTCTGCCCCTCCCAACTTTATGTCTTTTGTTTGGTTTGGTTTCTTTTCTTAAGTCCATGAGGGCTAGTTTGTGCTTCCTATATATACTCATAGGTGTGGGGACATTCACTGGATCATGGCCAAGCTCTCAGGAGCCACACTTTAAAGGAAACTGACTATACCTCCCCCCTGCAAGAAGCCATTAACCATCTATAGCTCTGTGCTGGAATGTTGTCTGGCTTGATCTTTGCAGACAATGAACCTGCTATGAGGTCATGATCCTGGCATGTCCAGAAGACATTGTTTAACTCCAGTCCTCCCTGTCCTCTGGCTTTTACAGTCTTTCTTTCCCCCATTCTGTGATGGTCCCTGGGCCGTGGTGTGTGTGTGTGTGTGTGTGTGTGTGTGTGTGTGTGTGTGTGTGTTTTTGTGTGTGTGGGGAGAGAGAGAGGTTCTGTCCTGTTTATGGCTGAGTACTCCACAGACTTTTCCTCTCCACACTTTGATCAGTTGTCTGTACTAGCCACTGTCCACTGGGCAAAGAATTTTCTCTGATGAGGCCTGAGAGCTGCACTAACTTATGGGCCGAGAAGTACAAATTTAGAGGATAGTTTGATACTGTGTTCATTTAGAAGGTTCATCCCTGTGGCTGTTGTGCTCCCAATCATGGGTTCTAGAACCTTTATTTGTTTATTTATCTATCTATTTATTTGTTTGTTTCAGTCCCTGGCTGGCTGGCCTGGAACTTGATATGTAGACCAGGCTGGTTTTGAACTCATAGAGATCTGCCTTTATCTCCCTTCAGATTTCTGAGATTAAAAGTGTGTGCCATTACACCTAGGTTATATACATTAAAAAAAAAACTATTGTGAAGGGTCTCATATATATCAAGCTGGCTTTGAATTTTTGGCCATCTTGCTTCCCATGGCTGGGAGCTGGGATGATAACTGCTGTGTCCCATAAGCCTGGCTTATGCAGAGCTGGGGACCAAGCTCAGGGCTCTGTGAATGTACAAGTCAGTGGTATTAGGATAGCAGGTTGTATTCCCATTACCACTTTTGCACTTGAGAACATTTTACTACCCCCAAAAGAACACTCTCCACTCCATTCCTCCCCTAGCCATGGTAACCACTCATGTGCTTCCTGTCCTTATTAATTTTCTTTAACTAGACCAACGATTACCTTTCTAATGCTGCAACCCTTTAATAAAGTTCCTCATGCTGTGGTGACCCCCAACCATAAAATTATTTTGTTGTTACTTTGTAACTTTAATTTTGCTACTGTTATGAATTGTAATGTAACTATCTGATATGCATGATATCTGATATGTGACACCCAAAGGGGTCTCCACCCACAGGTTGAGAACCTCTGAACTGGACATTTCATAGATTCAGTCATGCAGTATGTGACCCTATGCATTGGTTTCTTACAGTGCTCTGAATGTCCATGTAGCCTGAGTCTGTTCTTCTTTCTTTTCTGTGGCCAAGCAATACTCTGTTACATGAATATAGTATATTTTATGTGTTCAGAAGTTGGTAGATATATGGCTATTCCATTTTTTGTTTATTTTTTAGTAATATTGCCATGAACAGTGCAAACACAATTTCATGTCAATATGTCTTCACTTCTCATGGGTGTGTGTTTAGGAGTTGAATTACAAGATCATGTGGTAGTTTTAACCACTTGTACAGAGTCAGAATGCCTCCTACAAACAGTGTATAAGGCTTCCAGTTTCTCTACATGTTCACCAATACCTTTAACTCCCTACCTTTAAAGACTTTGTTGGTTTGGTTTTGGGGTAGGATATCACTGTGTAGTCCTGCCTTGCTCAGATCCCCAATCCTCCTCCCTCAGCTTCCCGGGTTCTGGGAATACATGTGCTACCGCCATGCCCAGTTGGTATAGGATTTTTGTTTGGTGTAAGAAAGTTGAGTTGTCCTTCATCTCTCCTCTCTGTGACTTGAGTTACACAGTTGCCCTCATCAAGAGTTTTGATGAGTACCTTTTCCTCTTCTGACTTCCAAAAACTTTGAAATCTTTCTAATTTTTTTTTTACTCTGCATTTTATAAAAACAACAAGATATTCAAATAACCAAGAAGTCGTGTTTGGCTTGGGAATCCAGGTGGCTCACTGGGTAAGGTACTTGCCACGCTAACCTGAGGACCTTAGTTTGGATCCCAGAACCCATGTAAGCATGGTGTGGTGGTGCACTCCTACAGCAAGGTGAGAGACTGGGAGGAGGGGACAGGAGAATCCCAGAAGCTCACAGCCCAGACTAACCTGGCAATGTGGCAGCAAGCTGTGCGACACTGCTTCAAGCAAGGTAGAGAGAAAGGACAGACGCCTGACCCTGCTCTCTGACCTCGACATGCATGAGCACCTGAACCCACAGATTTAAAAAGAACAGTGTTGGGGCTGGAGAGATGGCTCAGTGGTTAAGAACACTAGCTGGTCTTCCAGAGGTCCTGAGTTCAGTTCCCAGCAACCACATGGTGGCTTACAACCATCTGAAATGAGATCTGCTGCCCTCTTCTGGCCTTCAGGGATCCATGTTGACAGAACACTGTATACATGATAAATAAATAAAATCTTTAAAAATGAAAAAAAAGGAACAGTGTTTAAAAGAAAAACTGCAACGTTAGACCCTCCCACCCCACCTCCAGTTTCATTCCCAGAGACAGCCAGTTTTCTAGTTGGCACATAGTGGGGCATGAACTCCCAGCTGCCTCCAGTACATCCTCTCCGTTGCTGTGCTGTACTCACGTAATGAATCAGTGAGAACCCTGAGCCTTACCTTTCTCACTGGGCAGTATTCTACAGCCTGACTTGATTTTTAATGGTTCCTTGATGTACATAGTGTGACTGACCCAAAGTTTTACTCTTTTTTATGCATGGTCATGACAAGGTATCACTCTGTAACTTGGCTGGCCTGAAACTTTCCATCCCCCTGCTTCAGCCTTCTGACTGTTGTGCTCACCAGCCTGCACCATTGTGCGTGAGAAAAAGAGTCTGCAAGGGCTGGTGCTGCTGACGGTGTCCTTGTGCTGGTGTTTTGTGCTCAGTTGTTCAAAGAGAGACACTGGTTTGCCTTGCAGGATTTTAGCAGATGCATGAATTGTGTCCACTTACTTATCTCGTATATATTGGACTGGCAATGTGCTGTGTCTTAGCCTTTCTACCTTGAATACACTAGGATTATTCCTGGTCTGTTTTTCTATGTCGACTGTGACTCATATGTATGTTCAAAGAGTCAGATTTGGGACAACTGATGTGTGTGTGTGTGTGTGTGTGTGTGTGTGTGTGTGTGTGTGTGTGTGTGTGTGTGTGAATGCACACATGAGACAGACAGAGAGAGACACAGAGAGGAAAGAAAGAATTTTGAATCCAGGGCCTCGTGAATGCTAGGGCATAACTGTACCTCTGAGCTGTACATACTACCTGGTGGGTCAGATTTGATGCAGGGGGTGAACTGAGGTGGTGGCTCTGTGCCATTGCTTAAGTTCAGGGCTGGTGCTCACAGGTGCTCATCATCTACTTGTTAACACTTATGGTTTTCTGTCCCCAGTACCTGTTCCTGGCTTTTCCAAGGATCATCTTCCTGCTGGGCTTTGTCATGGTACTGAGCTTGCTCCTGGCTGGCTACCTGTGCTTCCTTCTGTACCTGGCTGCCACTAACCAGACCACAAATGAATGGTATAAAGGTGACTGGACCTGGTGCCAGAACTGCCCTATGGTGACCTGGTCCCCATCAGCTGAGCCTCACATCTGTCAGAACATTCACTCCCATGGATTTTGGAGCAACCTTCGAGAGATCTTTCTACCTGCCATCCCCTGTTATGAGAAAAAGAAGAAATAGAACGGGAAGCGGTGTTTTGAATACAGTACACATCTATATCTATCTATCTATATATATATACGGGTGTTTATTTTCGAAGCACTGTTTGTGTTGGTTTCTGCTGCATGAGTAAGCAAGGCTTACTGAGTTCCGTGTACCTTTTCCAGTACCATGGCCCATACCCTCCTGCTGATTTTCTGCTAGAACCCAGTGAGGTCCCAGTGTCAGGAAGGTCAAGAGATGTCTTGTCCAAGGCTGTGGGTAACAAAGAGACCTTTGTTTCTCTCACCACATTCTCTTACTTATACAAGGACAATACAGCCTTATTCCATGATGTGTAACAGGGTCCTGGTAGCTCCATGGCTCAGGGTTGTGCCCAGCTGCACTCTTTCCCTAGTCTGTTCTCTTCCAGTGGGCTCTTCATTACCGTAACCAAATCCTCACCTAAGCCTGCCTTCAGCAACCATAGGCCTCTTATTTATTGTTGTGCTTGTAGGCTACACTCAAGACCCTAACACTGTTAAAAAATGTATATTCAATGCCAGTTAGTTCAGTGTGAAGTGTAAGTGATTGCCCATAGATGATATTAAAAATCTGGAGGTTGAGCTGGAGCGATGGCTCAGAGGTTGAGAGCACTGACTGCTCTTCCAGAGGTCCTGAGTTAAATTCCCAGAACCTACATGGTGCCTCACAACCATCTATATTGAGATTTGGTGCCCTCTTCTGGTATGGAGGCAGACATGCAGGCAGAACACCATATACTAAATAAATAAATAAATAAATCTTGAGGTGGGAGTTGGGGGTGTTGTAGGGTGGTAGAGTCTTGAGGAGCAGGAAGCATGTGGGCTGCACCTTGTACTAAGATTCTCATAGTTCTCCTGGGCTAGGCTAGAGCATAGCAGTCAAGAGGGCCAGGACTCAGGAGAGAATTTGGAAACACAGGCTCTGGGAACAGAATGTGGGAGCAGGCCGTCGGGGTGGTGCGTACCAGCATCCTTGGTTCTAGTAGCTCCCGGGGTTAAGAACATGCTATGGGTGGTAGGGAGCACGAGAAGGCTTGCTTACATGGTGGAGGATCAGAAACACTTGGCAAAGC